AGGGGGTGGAACCAGAATGAACCAATGTGAAGCTCTGGTGGAAAGAAGGTGAAGTAAGCCCAAACCAGCTATAATAGAAGACTGACCATGGTGGTTACATCTGAGAAAGTAACAGTGAGCATCTTGATTTCAGCTGCAGAACTGGATAATGATGTTCCAAAGCCAGCCTGCCTCTCCACTGAAAGCAGTGATTCCCAGAAGGCCTCTGTCACCTCTGTTCCTTCAGAGGCAAAGGAACAAACAGCCACCCTTGGAGAGAGGACGTTCAACTGTTGCTATCCAGGTAGCAGACAAAACCCAGTGCACTGAGCTTTCTCTGGGCCAAGCCCCGTTAAGCAAGCTCTTCACGAATTCCCTCACTGACCCACGCATTACCTGTGTGGTCAAGGCATAGGCGTGTCCACACCAGCACGTCCTGCCGCCCCTGTGGGTTCTCAGTCCTGCGGCACCCAGAGCTTGGTGTGGGCCTCTTCAGAGCTTCAGATTTCTAGTAGCTTCCTTTGTGAGGTTATGGGTTAAGAAGGTCTGTGTCTTCTTCTTTCTCTTCTAGGTTGCCACTTCAAAACTGTCCATGGTATGAAAGATTTGGACCGCCACCTCAGAATTCACACAGGTGAGTACCCATTGGTCTGTTCATCGTCAGTGAAGAAGCAAGGAGATAGTTGGGAATGAGGGGCTGCATTCAGGGTGATGAGCAGACAGGCTGCCTCTGCCTCAGGGAACTTAGTCCAGTGGAACAGCGGTGACCAGTCAAGTCACCAAGGCAACAATGGCAACTGGGCATGAGGGAAGGGGCATTTGCAGAACCTGTAGTAGCAGGCTTGGTCTAGGCTGGCAAGAAGGGCTTTCCTGAAGAAGTGACCTTTGACTTGAAGTATGAGAAGCACGAGTATCCAGACAAGGAAGAACATCCAGGCAGAGGAAACAGCAGGTGCAAAGGCTTGGGGGGAAAAAGGATATGAGATAGGACAGGAAGGGCCACACAGAGGCTTGTGGCCATTGTAATCCTGGATAAGATGAGTATGATTCTCTGGTGGCATAGTGGTTAAAGCATTTGACCACAAACCAGAAGGTTGGCCGTTCAAACCCTCCAGCTGCTTTGCAGGAGAAAGACGAGGCAGTCTGCCTCCATAAAGATTTACAGCCTTGGGAACCCTATGGGAGCAGTTCTGCTCTGTCCTAAAGGGTCACTATGAGTCGAAATTGACTTGATGGCAGTAGGTTTGGGGTTTTTGTGGGGTTTAGAGGCAATCTTTTTGCTAACCGCTGAGAATACACAGAAATAAGATAAGATAATGTAAAGGGTGTCTTCATCCATAAGTTTTTGTCAGTTGCCATCGAGTCAGTTCTGACGTATGCTGGTCCCATGTGTGCAGAGTGGAACTGTTCCATAGGGTTTTCATGCCTGCAACTTACCAAAGCCGGATCGCCAGGCGACACTTCCAAGATGCTGTTGGGTGGATCTGAACTGCCAACCTCTTGGTGAGTGGTCCAGTGCTTAACCATTTGTACCACTCAAGGACTCTTTATTCATGAGAGGAGTCTGCAAACTACAGCCCATGGGTCAATCTCAGCCCACTGTCACACCCATTTATATATATATTGTCCATGGCTGCTTTGGCACTAAAATGGCAGAACTGAGTAGTTAGGACAGACTCTGTGGTGCACAAAGCCTAAAACATTTACTGTCTGGCTCTTTACAAAAACTGTCAGCTCTTGGTCTGTAGTATAGACTCTATGCTAGTCTATGTGAGTTATGACATTGGTTTGCTTGCCCTTATGGAAATCACAAGAAGTGGTTTAAACAAGATAATCAAGTTTATTTCTCTCAAGTAACAACCCGGAAGCAAGTTGTCCATGGCTGATAGGACAGCTCTGCCATCCTTACTGCCAGGCTTTGTCTTGGGAGCCAGGCAGCTGCAGTAGTTTTCACAATCTCTTAGCCAGTGGAAAGCAGGAGGGTGACCTGGGAGCTCGCAAATACCTCTCCCGGAGGCCATGACCCAGAAATGGCGTCCTCTGTGCCCAGTGCAATCTGAGCTGAGCTTCCTCGCTGCCCAGCCCAGCATCGACGGGGGCTGGGCTTTCAGGAAGGGTAGCCACATGTCCAGCTAAAACTCTGAAGCTGTTGGTAAGGAGAAGAGGAGAGATATTTCCGGAAAGTCGGGTCTCTGCCAGAATTGGGAGTTGTGCCCTACCTGTGCTCTAGGGTCAGTGTCACCCAGAGATGGTGAATCATGAAAGACCTCTTGGTGAAGGAAAGGTTGGGTCTTCACTGTGCAAGATGAGCCTGCTCAGATGACAACATTGGTGGGAAGGTGCAGATGGCAGGAGCCGTTCGAGAAAGGATGTGAAGCACCACGAGCACGGCTAGTTTAGGCAGCAACGTGGGTGGCTGTGTCCTGAGGACAACCTGAGAGTGACCATCAGTCAAACAGGAGGATTGTCCTGGGCTCCAGTGGGTAGAGGCCAGGGATGCTTCCAAACTCCTGCAGAACGCAGGCCAGTCCCCTACAACAACAGTTATCTGACCCTAGAGAGTCACTGTGTTGGAATCAACTCTATGGCAACGGGTTTTGGTTGTAGATTGAATAGCAGTAAAAAGGTACAGGGTGTTGGTATTCATCCCTGACAATTTTGACCCAGGCTAACTTCATATATCTTGCCAGAATAAACTATCTTTGAAGAAGTGTTCTTTCCACTGTGCAATTACAGAGTTTAGTGATTGCTCAGATAGAGACCCAATGACATGTTGGGAAAGTTTGCTTCTTCATGGCTTTGATATGAATATAAAATGAGAATTTTTTTATTCCATTTTGCTTTGTTTTGTTTTTAAATTTTTTGTTTTGTTGTTGACTAGCTTATTATTTTAAGGAGCATGTGGTGGTGAGGAATTCCATGAACATTGGTAGAATGGGTGCCACCACTATTTTGAGTCATGCTAACCAACCAATTGCTGTCACATCAGTCCTGATTCATGGCCACCCCTTATGTGTCTGTTTTTGCTACAACACCAGCAGGTCTACCCACCATTGCTCCTGTGTCCTCAGTGCAGATGTCTGCAATGAACCAGGCCAATCATATCGAGTATTATGGTGGAGATTATTTTGACCATAGACTCAACCAGAAGAATCTTGGGGAACCCTAGGAATTTAGAGATGGGGGTGGCAGGCAAATGCAGGAGCTGGTGTATGGCAAATACAGACACAACTAAGAACAGGGCCTGGGTAGAGACCAGCAAAAGCAGCTGTTTGCCTGCAGTGCATACTTGCCAAGGACTCATTTGGGGAGAGTGAATTAAGAAGCCAGGCTGTGACTTCTGCAGAGGCCTTGCGAAATCAGGCTAAGAACTAGGATCAGATCTTATTTTTATTACCTTTATTCTAAAATTATGTGGGGTTTTTCTGGTTTTTGGGTTTTTTTGTTTGCTTGTTTTTGTTTTGTACCTTAAATCCCAGTTTGTCCGAGAGGAAAAAAAGCTAAGTAGTTTTCAAATATACAATAGAAAAGAGCTAAGGTTGGGAGTGAGAGAAGAAAGATAAGATGGAAACACTTATGCTCTGGTAGTTAGGTCCTTGGGGTACTCAACTGCAAATCTTAGCCAATGGAAAACAGATGCTACCGTGTAAAATCCGGAACACAACATATAGAAAGATCATGATGGTAACATGAAGTATTTCTGGATAGAGGGTCTAAGAGCACCTTAAATTCTTTTTCTCTCTTAGTTTTCTATGTGGAGTATGTATTGCTCTTATTGTCAAGTTTTCATCATTCCATTAAGAGATGAATAAATGATGATGTTTGAAACTTTACAGTGACAAGATGAGCTCCCTTTGCCATCTGCCTTTCCCTGTCACTGTCCCAGCTGCTTTTTGGGTGGTACAGTGTAGTAAATAACATAGTACGGCTTTTCTAGCTATAAGTCTGTGGTGGAATTTGCCGTGAGCAACTGAGTAGCTCCTGATTATTAAAGTTATCCAGCTGGGGTATTTCTGTTGAGAGTGGCATGAAACAATCTTCTGGGAAATTCTCTCACTCAGATATATAGAATTCTGATGTTGGGATTGGTTAGTGGCCACTCTGCCAGGCTCAAAAGGAGCCTTTCTAGAGGCAGAAGGGATCTCTCTGACTGCTGGCTGAGAAAGACATGCTGCTGAGAGAGAGACATGCAATGCTGAGAGAGACACACAAACTACTGGGAGACACCAAGAGACACGCACTGCTGGGAGAGAGACTGTTGGCTGAGAGAGACTGAGAGTTGTTCCTGAACTTGAATTATAGCCTGGTGCTTCCCTAATAAACCCTATAATCTGTGACTGCAGCAAATGATTGACCCCAGCAGAGAGGTGGTGAGTACTGTGGGAGGAACTGCTGGTTTCAGGGTTTTTGAAAGGGCTGGAGGGAGGCAGCGTGTCTGGCCTTGCGGAAATAGGCCTTGGGCTACTGATGGTGATTCTGTCTTCCTTTTGTGTGGGGTTAGAGGAGGTTAGAAGATGCGGCCTCCCTGCTCCCACGGCATGTGGTAAGATGCATCTGGAACAGAGGAGGCACACAAGTAGTCGGAAGGTCGTGGCTAATGCAACTTTCTGCTTTTTCAGATATTAAAATACTATAAAGTGATTGGAGCTGAAATAGATGAATAGAAACATAATAGAGTCTAGAAACAGACCCATGGACTTGGGCAAATTCAATACCTGCTAAAAGTAGGATTTCAAGTCTGTAGAATGGGTAAATTCATATGGTATGGGGACGGTTGATAATTTATTAGAGCAAAAGTTATATTTTTCACCTCACCATTCACAAATTTCAAGTGTATTAAGTTAGCTAAATGTCAAAGTCTTTATCTATACTGAGAACTATAAGAGGCTGAATATAGCATAGGCCTACGGGCAAATAATCAATAGGTAAAGATCCCACAGAAGGTTGATTAACGTGACTGAATCAAAGTTAAAACCTACAGATAACAAGACACCATTGAAGAGTCTTCCAGATAAATGATCCACAGGGAGAAATGTACAGTGTGGGACAGAATTAATATTCAGCCCACACAAAGGACTCCTACAGATCAAAGACAACCAACCCGAATGGG